ATGGCAGCAATACTGGCAACAAACAAAATCCAGGAGCACACCAACACAAAAGGGCCACTACATAATGTTACAGATTATTTAAAACAGACCTAAAGAATATGCATTACAGGCAAGTTACCAGCTTAATTAAGTTCATGCTACAAGGTCCATCGTCAAGTCTAGCCCATGGTCTGGCATGTTATGGACTCTATGAAGGTTATTATCAAAGCCAAGATGAAAGCAATTTATCAGGCTCATATAAACACTTAATAAAAAAATATATATGCAGCACTTATTACTGACCAGATACTTCAATTTTTTAAGCAAATATTAATGATCTATAAACTGTACTTGAGGGGGAGAGCTAGGCTACAAAGAAACCTAGCCTTAAAATTGTTAGTTTGTGTGTGCGGAAATGGTCCCAACAGTGGGAACAAAATGTAGCTTTCACATCATTTCTAGGGTTCTATCAACTTCTGTCTATAGTTTTTTGAGTATCTAAGAGCAATTAAGACTGAAATTTGGGGAAGTGATCTACATTTGTCAAAATGGATGAATTATTCTGTTTATTTAAAGGTAAGGTATTGGGGTGCCTGGCTGGCTCAGTCAGTGGAGCATGTGACTCCTAGATCTTAGGATCACGACTTCAAGCTCCACGTTGGGTGTAGAGATTACTTAAATAAAAGCTTTTTAAAAAATTAGATAAAAAGGTAAGGTACTGTAACAGCATGGAAACTCAAATTCATATTAAATTCCCTACTCATACCCCTCAGGATTATTACTTTCATAGTTTTACAGGAAAAAGTACATGACAAAAATGTTGCTATTTTCTACAAAGATGAAGGCTCCTACCTTTGTTTTCTTTATCAAATCCTGAAATCTGTTAAAAGAAAATATTTATCTTTATTCAACTGTTCAGTTACAATTAACAGACCAAAGCAGGTTATAAAAACTAAACAATCCTACCAGTGATTTGTAGAGACTGGATTCAGGGTTGATTTTAATGAGCTGTAATAGATCTTGCATAGTAAATACCTTAAGGAAAAGAAAGTTAAAAAAAAAAAGAAAAGTTAGACATATTTTTTACATCAATGTTTAAATGATAAACTAGGCCATTTCTGAAGACTAAGAGTCATGCTTCAGATTAAATTACAAAATATTATAACCATGCTAATATAAAATTGAAGCACTTTCTTATACTATTGATAACAAATATATTAAAGTCACAAGGATAAAGTATTTTTCTTGATCACATAATTAACCTCCAAATATTTCACAATGAAGATAATTGGTCTAATAGGTCTAAATGGCTAATGCCTTATAGATTACAAACACTCAAATAGCTGATGAACCAGTGAAGACATGTCTGAATTCCAGAGTCTTTCAACTGCAATAAAATTTTTAAAGTACTATTGCTTCAAAATATAAATGAACTGAAGGTTTACTGTCTTTACCACAATGAATAACTAAATCATACCTAAAATAGTCTTAAACATTTTGGGTGGCTATTTTTTTTTTTAAGATTTTATTTATTTATTAGAGAGAGCAAGCAGGGTAAGGGGCAGAGGAATAAGCAGACTCCCACTGAGCAGGGAGCCCCAATGGGGTGGCGGGGGGATCCCAGGACTCCAGAATCATGACCTGAGCCGAAGGCAGAGGCCTAACCCAACTGAGCCACCCTGGCACCCCTGGGGTAGCTATTCTTATTTCTACTACAATATTTATCATTTACTAGACCTACCCTGAGAACATGGATAGGCTTTCAAGTGGTTTTCCTTTATAGAAAATATTCTGTACAGCATTTTAGAGTAGAAACCTTTAAGTATGTGAACTGTATTAACTACTGCTTTAACCACTATGTTATTTACTGTTACTCATCCAATAAGCTAAATTATTAAACATAATTGGAAACTTCAGTGTATCTGGCTGGCTCAGTCGGTAGAACATGTGACTCTTGATCTTGAGGTCACGAGTTGAAGCTCACGTTGGGCTTAGAGCTTACTTTAAACAAACAAACAACAACAACAAAATTTAAAGAGTGACGGACCAAACAAGAACTCCTGATGTTGATAAATAAAATTTGGTTGTTAATAAATACAGCATATTTGAATTTTCAAATACTAACATTGTTCTTATTTTCTTAAAACATCCGAGTATGAAACTTTTAGTCAATTATAGACAAGATAAAGAATAAAAATAGAGAGACAACACCAAGAGTTAAACTATGGACTTTAGGGGCACCTGGGTGGCTCAGGTGGTTAAGCATCTGCCTTCAGCTCAGGTCATGGTCCTGGGGGCCTGGGATCGAGCCCCATTTCGGGCTGTCTGCTGAGCAGGGAGTCTGCTTCTCCCCCTGCCCCTCTCCCTGCTCCTGCTCTCTCTCACTCTCAAATAAATCTTTTAAAAAATAAATAAAAATAAACCATGTGACAATGTAGATTCTATGGCAAAAATGTATATAATGGGGGCACCTGGGTGGCTCAGTCAGTTAAGTGTCTGACTCTTGATTTTGGCTCCGGTCATGATCCCAGGGCCATGATATCGAGTCCTACTGTGGGCTCCACAATGGGCATGGAGCCTGCTTAAGATTCTCTCTTTTCCTCTTTCTGCCCCTCCCCGCCTCCCTCTTTCCAAAAAAAAAAAAAAAAAAGTCATGTACGTAACAAAAAATGTTGCTAGGAGGGGAGGCTGTGCATGTGTGGGAGCAGGGAGCATATGGGATATCCTCCTTTCTGCTCAATTTTGATCTGAACCTCAACTGCTCTAAAAAATTAAGTCTATTAAAAAAAATAGGCAAAGTCTGCTGTTATCAGTCTTTAAAATAATTAAGTGTGACTAGATTTCTCCAACATTACTGTTAAACATAAATTAGAAAATTGGTAAAAACAGGTGTTTTAGTATTTGAGAATGTCAGAGACTTTTAAGAACTATTGTATCCCTCACTTCTCTTGTGTAATCCTAAAGAACAGAAGTATCTGAAGAGACTTTAACATAGTAAGAAGAACATATTTTAGAGATCTAGAATTACCGCCCTGCACTGATATTTATAAATCATGTGGCCTTGAGCAAAGTACTTCACCTCTCCAGAGACTGGTTCCTCATCATCTGCAGTGTGACTAATACAGTGACAATCTTACAACAGACATTCAACATAAAAGGCAACTGTGAGTCTTAGCAGACTACACAGAATGGGAGGATAATTCTAGCTCCAAAACAGTGATTCTACACATCACAATTTTACCAAACTAATCTAGAGTCCAAGGAATTGATAACAATTAACAATCAACTTCAGTACTTCCCCTTTGTTACATGATAGAATATATGATGTGAATTCAAAGATGAATGAGAAACGGACCTCGCTAGCCAAGGAATACTCCACTGTTATGTAGCACTTACTGTTATCTCAGAAAAAAGCTATTAATAGAAAATTCAAAAAGAGAAAAGGAAAGACTTTACCTTTTCTTTGGCCAAACCACTTTCTGGAAAGAAAACAGAGAGTGAATACTCGTAGCCACATCTTTGTAAGTGATCTGCCACTAGAGAGTTAGAAGCGCCTATTAAGAGGGCACTCCCTTCCACTGAAATGGACCGGGGCTGCAGTTCTCCACTCAACACAGGGTGCATCAATTCGTGAATCAGCTGGTTTCGGAGCTGTGTCTAGCTCAAAAACACAAACAAAAATGAACCAAGAAGGAAAAAAATTTTCAGCAGGACTGTTTCACTGGAGATATACAGATTTGTCACATGAATTAGCATCCTTATTTCCAGAATGGTTCTGGATCCGTGACCAAAAGTTAGGAACCATTCCCTAGATAACCCTGTGACACAAGTAGCCCACTGAGTTTTGGAAAAAGAAACTCGTTTTCACCAACTTCCAAGTTAACTTGTGGTTAGCCAGAATGCATGTATACTTTAACTTCACATTCCCCAGGAGCCCTTCAGCAGCTTTTCATCAGGGTATCAAGTGCAGGAGACAATTCTGCCCCCTGCTCACCTCTCTGTGGACTATTGAAGGATATGAAAATATTGGACATATTGATCAAAACAAAATTGGGTTCCCAAAAGGGAAATCACATATGCAAGAGAGAAATCAGTAAACCCAAAAACATATTAAGACGTACGTTTGCATACAGTATTTACATCCCAAGACATTGAAGTATAATAATTTTCTCACATTTTATAAGTGAGAAATTACAGTTCAAAGTGGGTCATTTTCTCAAGGTTATAACACTAGCATTATTCATCTGGGTTTTAAAAAAATTCCCTAAATTACTCAGACTACTGGGTATTTGTTCTAGTCTATTTTGCATATCATTTGGAAACATACAACTGGGCTGAGCTTAAGACTGCACTGCCTAGATTCAAGGGGTTCAGCAGTAAATGATACCTAATGAATTCATATTAATAGAATACAAGCAAGAGAAACAAATGGAGTTCTTGTTATACTTCTTTCTTCTATCCTTTAGCTCAAGAGTAGAACAGTATATAATTACCAGTACAGACCAGGCCTTAGTATACGTCTGAAGTCCCACAGTTAAAAAAAAAAGACATTTACAAACAGAATACGCATGTCCTGCCTCATCTAGTACAGTTCAGTAACTGAAATAAAACAAGAGAAATTACAGCATTCTCCACCAGTAAAATTTAGAGGTGATTTAATTAAATTTGTAACTACTTAAAAAGAATATATTTAAATCCAGCTTAATAAAATGCCTTAGGGTGTCTTGCAAACAAATACTGAAACAGGATAAGATTTAGAAGAGTGACAGAAGCAGGAAGGAAAATAAAGGTAGAAAAAAAACCAAAGGACCTTAACAAACACAAAAAGCAAGCCATCCAGCACTTGCTGGAAGGAATGCCACAACTGGCTGGGGGCTCTGCAGCAGCCAATGTAAAAAAGAGGGAAATCCATTCAGAATTAATGTTCCTAAAACAGAAATAAGAACAATTATTGTGGGTGGGGAGGGGAACTGGGAGAGAAGAGACTTGTGCATCCAAAGCACAACTCTCTCAGATATTAAGAGTAGACTCAAAATAAGGAAAAAGACTTGATAAACTCCATTTAATAGATACCAGACTTTGTACTTCACCAGAAATTCTTTTCAAACACCCAAATAGAATGTTAATTAGGCCATTACAAAATTCAATGAATTTTAAAAATTAAAACTCACTCAGGCCATCGTCACTGAACTGAGAAAACAAAAATTAGCTCCGACTTAGTAAGTAAAAATCTGTCTTGCCACTGGTAAGCCTGGAATAACAGAATTGAAGAGCCAGCGGCAAAAGGAAACAATATTTCTCTAGAAGATACACATTTGTAAAGTGAACAAAGCTAGCATAATCCTGATACCAAACCCAAACAAGGACAGCTTAAGAAGGATAAGGATACATCAGTATCATTTGTGACTACAAATGAAACACTCTCAAATCTAATTCAGAAGACAGTAAAAGAAAATATGCCATGGCCAGGAATCCAAGGACCATTCCACATTAGAAAGCATATTAATGCATTATACACTACAATTAATTCCAAGCGGGTTAAAGAGTTAACTGTAAAAAAAATAAGGCCTTTTTAAAACATAAAAAGTGAATATTTGTTCTCTTAAAGAACTGAGAATAATTAGCAAAAAAACCACCAATAGATTTGACCCTATTAAAAATGTACAGCAGTATTTTTAGAACCAAATTAAAATTGAACACCAAGATAAAGTATGGCTGCAAAATTGGAAAAGAAATTAAGTTTCTGTTAAAAGAAATCGTATACATTAATAAAACACCGCTGGGTGGGAGGGGGAAATGGGCAAAGAACATAAACTGCCAATCCACAGAAAACATACAAATGGCCAGAAAATATGTGCAACCCCATTAATAATCAAAGGAATAGTAAAGGGTTTTCCCATGTTTTAAAAAATGTCATGATAATATCATTGGAGAGATAAGTATTATCAAATTGCTGGTGGAATACACACTATTACAATCTTGCTAGAACAAGACCCATATACTGAGAGCCTTAAAGCTTAGGCCTTGGGTGGCTCAGTCAGTTAAGCATCTGACTTCAGCCTGGGTCAGGATCTCAGGTTCCTGGGATGGAGCCCAATAGGGCTCCAAGCTCAGCGGAGAAAGTGCTTCTCCCACTCCCTCTGCCCCTCCCCCTGCTCGTGCTCTCTCTAATAAAATCTTTAAGGAATAAAAGTTCAGGCTTTTGGTTCAGTAATGTCACTTAACCCATCCCAGGCAAAAAGTGAGAGATGCAATTGAAGGCATGTGTAGACCTGGGTATAATCTGAATCTTCAACAGGGGACTGCTACATAAAATTACCCATACATTCAAAGACAAGCCCGGTGCCATTGAAAACAAGGATTTCAAGGAACATTAAAGGACACAGGAAAATGTTCAGCACATAATATCAGATTAAAAAGGAGGGGTGTCTGGCTGGCTCAGTCAGTGGAGTGTGGGACTCCGGGTCTCCAGGTTGTGGGTTCAAGCCCTGCATTGGATACGGAGATTACTTTAAAAAAAAAAAAAATACACTTATGCCAATTAGTGGCTGTATTAGTGATGTTTCTCCATGTTTTTCTAGATTTTTCAGATTAATCTCAAGGTTTAAGTTACCAAAACAATGGGAGAGGGAGGAAAATTTTTTAAGAAGCTCGCTTTTCCTTGTTTTTTAAGGGGGGGGAGGGGGAGAGGGAGAAGGAAAGACAGACTCTTAAGTAGGCCCCACCCCCAGCTGGTCAGGGCTGAGTCCACAACCCTGATCATGACCTGAGCTGAAACTAATAATTGGAGGCTCAAGGGACTGAGCCACCCGGTGCCCCCTTAATTTAACATTTTAAATATAAAATAGACTTTTAAAATGTATACAGTAATGAAAACATGTGAGCTAATCCTACTCCTTCATATAATATGTACTAATATTTGCTGCCCAAATATTTATACATTCCAATACGTTTTAAGGAAGAAATTTCGCATTCCCCAAATTATTCTATGGTAAGTAGTACATCTAATGTTTTCTACATGGTGTCAATTTCTTTCATTCCAAAAGCGCGTACTATTACGAAACCACTTACTAATTCAGGACTTGCAAGCCAGATTTATAAATCAAGTCCAACTTTATTAGAATGTGTTCATTTTATGAAGCTACCCACTACTACCTTAGCATCAGTCCAATAAACCTATTATTTGAATATGCTCTTTTAAGACCAAACTCCAAACCATTTAAGTCTTCCGTATTCCATTACAAAGAGTTACACAGGAACATAAAAATGTAACTTACCAATACAATCTACGTCATACTGTTTTTAAAAGCCAAGACCTGGGTGTATTTAAATGTGGACTGCCCGTTACAGGTTAACTTGTAAAAGTTATGTAAAAGACACGGCTAAAACGGATACCTTGAGCGTGTCCAGTATACCCCGATTCTTAAACGTCTGGTATAGTTTTTTTCGCAGTTCATCTTGACTCAACACGTCAGATTTGGGGGGCATAGTGGACTGGAAGAAAAAACGGTTACGGGTTACCCGGCGGGCAGATGGACCATGAATTTCTGAAAACAGACCAGTGGCCTCCAGGGAAACCCTAAGAGGCTGAGCAGGGTTAAAGAAGCTATAACGAAAACAAACAAGAGGTTACGTTTCCACGGGTCCCTGAGGAGGGGCCAGTGTATCTACCTGAGCCATCAGCTGTCAGCCTCCCCTGCCCCCGACTTCGCCCAGCGGGTCCTGCCTTGGCCCGAGTTAACACCCAGCCCGAGCTACGGGCTCAGGACAAAGGGGAATCCCGGCCTTCAGAGCCCAGTCTCTGCCTGGGGGCCAGTCGGGAAGAACAAGAGAGCTGAACACTGCTTCTCCACTAGGAACTCTAGCAGACTCGCATTTCCTTTCTCAGCGGTTCTGATGGGTAGGCGTGGTCCACACGGGACTTTCCCACGCGGCTGGAGGGCGGGGACCGGTAGTGAGGCAACAGGAGAAAACGAGGTACGACCGGGAATTCGCCGGGCTGAGCGTTGATCCCGCCCTTCCCCGCCCGCCAAACCTAACCGCCCTGGTCGCGAGTACTAGGGCGCACGCGCTTGGCGGCGCAGTCCTCTGGCCGGAAGCTCCTCCCAGCTCTCGCGTGATCTCAACGGCGAATTCTCGCGAGGATTGCTCGGGGAGTTCTGACAGAGGCTGCCAAGCGCCGGTCTGCGGAGGGAAGTGGCTGGCTGTTTCCGCTGTCGGCAGCTCCCTGCAGGTAGGAGATGGAGTGAGTAGGGGGGCGGGAGCTCCAGGGGACGTTCCGGGCCCCGCGTGACGCGGGTTTTGGCCCAGTCTCTCCAGCCGGCCCGGGGGCAGCCGGATCGGACCTGGCCAGTCCCTGTTCGGCTGATCTCGTCCCAGGCCACTCGGCCAATGCCCATCGCGTTTCAGCCTGCAGACGTCGGCCAGCTCGGGACCTTTGCTTCATTTTGCCTTTCATAGGCCACTCAGGTAACTCGGGGTTTTTTAAAGGGCCGTACTGTTGTCATTTGGAGCTGGATAATTCTTCGTGGGCCCTGTCCTGTGAGGGGAGGGGATTAGT